AAAAAATTATATCATGCGATATCATGCGCATTTTATATAACGTGCGCATTAATGCGCATTCATGCGCATGTTATTATGAAATGCGCATTTTTCCCATCTCTAGTTGCAATTTCAGGTGGTCATTCTTTATGAAGGATATGGGATGGCTAATAAAGATTGTATGTAGCTGTTGATCTTGCAGCCTTAAATAAAATTACCATTGATACAAACACTCAGACTGTTGTAAACCGAACAGGAAATATATTAAAATCATTATATTGTAATATTATAAATCCTTAAAACCTAAAGTCTAACGCCTAAATATTAATCCTAACAGAAAAAAAATTGAATTAAACCTTTTATATACAAACTTAAAAAAAAAAGTCAAAAAAACTAAAAAAAATAATAATAAAGGACATATTATAAGTACAAAGCCAACTAGAGTTTTATAATAAATGGTTATACATGATTTTGTATTTACAGTACGTATATTCATTCGTTCTTTTTATAATACGTTATAATATAATTTATATTTACTATACTATAAAAATTAGCCAATATAAATTGAATTAAAAATCTTAAATTCAGGATTTAAAAGAATCAGCAACACATAATTCAAGACACAACTAGGGGTGAGTACGGCTACGAACACTATAAGCAAATTTATAAATCATTAATTAAAGTTGTTTAGAGGTAAATTTTAGTCATAGTTAATTATAAATAAAACCCTCTAAAATTCAAAATCTTAAAATTCATCATCGGTTATGGAATTGCTTGACTGAACTTGACCACGTAACCGTTGATGAATTTTTAAGATTTTGACTTTTAGAGAAGGTTTTTTAAATTTATCTTATAATTAACTGCGACTAAAATTTACTTCGGAATAACTTTTATTAATGACTTATAAAATAAAAAAATCATTTCAAAATTTAGTAAAACTACTTATAGTCGATTGTGTCGTGAACCCATTCCTAGACACAATTATACTTACTGGCAAAACCTGGACAAATTTCAACCCCCAAAAAACAAATTGTATTATAAAAAATTAAGTCAAAAAAATAATTATATAAATTATAGCTATAAAAATATATATCATATGTTTGTTTAAATGAAGATTATTAATAAAAGTTTTTAAGATATTGGTTTGGGCTTGAGTTTGGGCGGCAAGTATAGACACAACTAGTAAAATATTTACAATATTTTTAATTTATACACCTTGTACCTAACAAATGTGTGTTAGGGCTAGCTAATAGTGTGCTAAGGTTTGTGAATTACAAATTATTTATTATGTTTAGGGCCCACTTTGAGATTTAGGTCGATTCTAATAAAACATATTTTTAGGTTTGATTTTTAATACGATAAAATAGTATAAAATATTGTTGATCCATAAAATAAAAGTATGAAATTTATAGAAATTAGCAATTAACAACAATACGTTCATATGGTAAAAATTTAACGTATGCTTCAACAGATTCAACATCTACAAAATCCTTATTCAAACTCTGCACATTCAAGTAACTCAAAGTTCTGTTTCGTATGCAGAATTAAATTAATGCTTTAATATTCTCCATATCAAGGTGATTAATTAACAGACTTTTTAAAGATGCATTGCAATTATCGAACAAAACATCTATATAATTCTGGCCAAGTGTTATTATCTATGTCAAGATATTGCAATGTTAACGGCAATATTTCTGCAAACTGCTTAAGTGCTCCTATTAAAGCTACTTCCCAAATTTCAACATCTGCTAATTTAAATTTCAATCTTTTCAGTAATAAGCGTTGTAGTAATATGCCGGACTCCTCTAAAATTTTTACTATAATCGATACATCAATCGAGCAATTACATATCTCCAAAGTACTGACTTTATAATTTAATTTTTTCAACAATTCTTCATTTATGCAATATCTGATACGAAGAATTTTCTATTATAAATTCTTGTATGAGTTTTTTTGACGCTCTAAAACTGAAATTATGCCATAGGATTTTATATTGAAACAAGATATTTTAAATTTCCTAAGTTGCTCTTGTGATTTAATAACACGCATGAGAGTATGAAATAATTGTGGTTGATACTCATTACAAAGTCCGTCAATTTCCAAAGTACTAATATTCATAGCATTTTTTGCCAAGATTTTTAATAATGGAATAACAAATTTAATGATACTTCGGTTTGGTAGAGATCTCAAATATAAATCCTGAAGTCGTGAAAAAAATTGTTTATTTTCCCTTAATGAGCAAAGATCTCTGATCTAATTCTAACAAAGTTAGAAAAATCTAAATCTAATTTATGCAAAATGGCGCCACTTTCAATAAATAATTTAAGTAATAAATTAATTATGCGATTTATGGGTATGTCGTAATTTGGATCTGAACTCTGTGAGTCATAATCTAGTTCCGAATTCTGAGAGCCGTAATCTAGCTCCAAATTCTGTGAGTCGTAATCTAGCTCCAAATTCTGTGAGTCGTAATCTAACTCCAAATTCTGTGAGTCGTGATCTAGTTCTGAATTCTGTGAGTCGTAATCTAGTTCATGAACTGAGGAATACTCATATTCAAATCCGAGTTCTGTGAGTCGTAACCTTGTTCGAGTTTATGCCACCTTTTAACCTCATATTCTAAATTATATAGATCAAGAACCTTTAGGAATCTTGCATAATCAAATAATGTTTTAGAAAATTCTGCATTTATTCCACATTCTTTTAAGCTGAATTTTACGTCATCGTCAAGAGATGAGAAGTATTGAGAAATTAATATTGGGCTTGACATGGATAAACATATGTTTTTCACTTGTTTAATTGAAAATGGATCTTGCCAAAGAATAAGAAGTGCACCAATGTCGGTTCACAAGTGCGCACGAGTATAAGGAATCAAGATCACAATTTAAATTATTGAGAATAGTTTTCATTAATTCGGGCATATCGCTCGTAAATATTTTTGAGGTCATAATTTTGGTTAATTTTAATAGAGGTATGCTTTAAGGAAGATGCTAAATCCTTCCCGTTGCATCTTAGCCCTTAAATAAGTCACGCAAAACAAGGTCGATCAGATAATACAGGTAAAATACGGGTTTAAGAAAATCCCGTAATTTCGGAGCCAAAACATCAATTTCTTTAAACTTCTAGCGACATTTCTCAGTAACCATTCGACCAAATTTAGTAAACTTCTTTTAAATTTGATCCTATATGTTAGTAAAATTAAAAAAAAGTTCATTGAATTTAGTTTAGTGGTTATCGATAAACCTTCGCTAGAAGTTTTGAAAAAGCTTGAAATATCGGAAAAACAAAAATCGGAATTTTTTTTTTTTGAAATTTTAAACGATGATTTCTCAACACTCATATGTCCAAAATCAATGAAATTTTTTTATTTTGATTTCTGAAGTATGTAGGATTAAAATAAAAAACAATTTACTGAAATTGGATAGACAAATACGTATTGAGAAATATCGAGTAAAAACTAAAAAAAAAAAAAATTTGCCCGAAACTTTTTTTTTACGGATATCTAAAATTTGAACGAATATAACTCGACACTTACCTGATCATATTCGATCAAATTTTTTTATTTTAATCCTACAATCTTATGGAATTAGAATATAGTAAACCCGCAATAGTCACATGCTAAAATCAAGCATTTCATGTGCCTATGGGAAGATTGAAGATCAAGGAACCCAGTGATATTTTCATGATAATCACATCACATTATTAAGTGTTCGGCCTACGCTAGTGTTAGTGTTAGGGTTAGCTGATAGGTTAGTTTAGGCTAAATTGTTTAGTGCTAGTAAACAATTGACGTAATTGATTATTTCACGTGATGTGATAATCACTGGGTTCCTTGTTCTTCAAGTGTCCCGTGACTATAACGAGATTGTGGCAAATGCGGATGTGACTATTGCGGGGTTCTACTGTAATAAATCTTGATCAAATTTGATTAGGTAACTGCTTCGTTCAAATTTTGGATGTCTGTAAAAAAAAAAAGCTGCGGCCAATTTTTTTTTAGCTTTTACTCAACATCTGTCTATTCAAATATGATAAATTTATTTTTATTTTAATCCTGCTTACTTGCAGAATCAAAATAAAAAAATTCATTGAATTTGGATATTTGAGTGTTGAGAAATCATCGTTTAAAATTTTAAAAAGAAAAAATTTGCCGATTTTAGATTTTCTTTCCAATATATTTCAAAACTTCAAGCGAAGGTTTCTCGACAACAACTAAACCAAATTCAACGAACTTTTTTTAATTTTAATTTTACTAATATATAGAATCAAAATAAATGGTTTACTAAATTTGATCGAATGGTTACTGAGAAATCTTCGCTAGAAATTTTCAATTTAATTGGTTAATATTTGGGCACAGGAATCAGATCGGAGGATCTACAGTGAAATTGGTAATCGATACTATGTATTAATTACTAGATTTAGTTGTTTATTAGTCAGTATTGTAATTACCTTACTTCTGACGATTGTGTTGTTCAACATTATCATTGAGAACGATCATACGATGGTGCTAGTTCCCCCTTTGATGTTAGAGTAGAAGCCATGTGCCCTTTGAACTCTTCCCCTAATAAAGAAAATTCACATAAAATCGTCCTTATAAATGAATTGTCTATCAAATATTCTTTTATGATGCTATCCCTTATAATTCCGGAGCCCAAATATTCACCAATCAGAATCTACTAAATTGAAAATCTTTTCGAAAATTTTGAATTTCTTTAAACTTCTAACGATGATTTCTCAATAATCGCCGATCAAATTTAGTAAGACTTTTTTTATTTTGATTCTATATTTTTGTAAAATCAATATAAAAAAAGGTTTATTGAATTTGGTTTAGTGGTTGTCGAAAGATCTAAGATTGGAAAATTCTTTTTAAAAACTTTAGACGATGATTTCTCAACACATATATCGATTTCAATGAAATTTTTTAGTTAGATTCTGAAAGTATGCAGAATTAAAATAAAAAAATCAATAAATTTAAATTCAGTTATGCCTCTCTAAGTGCACACCCTCGGAACCACAGTAAAAAAAAGGCAAAATGTGCACTTAGAGAGGTGTGCATTTAGAGTAGTGTTTCGATCCTATCTTTGACAGGCCATCCGGATTCTATTAAATCCGGATTGAATCCGTGTCAGATTAGACATAAAACTAGCTTTGAGAACACCCTTATGTCCGTTATTTAAGTTCTTTGACAAATCCGAATAAAAATCTCTGATCTGTATATTTAAATTTATCTAGATTTAAGGATCAATTCAGATGGTCGGATTAAGGATCGAACCACTAATTTAGAGTAGTGACATGGGCCGATGAAAAAATCTCGGGCCGGGGCCGGCTCGGGCTGACAGCCTTGGGGCGGACGATCAGGGCTGACCCTTTTATGAATAATTTTGAAAAATTCTGAAAGATACTCAACCTTTCTTACACTTTAAACATCAATTGAGAGTTATTTAAATTCGGTTCGATCTCTTTTTTCCGATCCTAATAAGAGATTCGTATTCAATGTTGTCTTATTGTCTACATTCGGAAGATACCCGGCCGGCCCATATCACTAATTTAGAGGTGTTAAAATTTATAATAATCGGTGAATTATTTGGGTGTGAATTTAGAGGAATTTTTCATATACAGTGCATCTAGGGAGTGTGATGCTATATATAGTTGTTAGGTGAAACCTCGAGGTTTCGTGCGACGAAACGTGAAACCTAGTTTCGTCTTTCGTCAATTAAAATTTTAAATGACGAAATGACGAAACTGATTAAAGTTGATGAACTGTAAAGGGTATAAAATACAGAAATGTATAAAAATTGCAAAAAAATTTATTATATAATAGGCGCTTGAGTTGTTTAAAGGGAATATTTTATATATTAGTACACTACATATCATCTCTAGTGAGAAATCGCTTGATGCTTACATTGTGATCTTACAAATTTATTTTGTGCTAGTATGTTTTAATTCATTATTCCATGAGTACCATGGCTTTGTCTGCATGGAATCAACTAATCCACAAGCAAACCAACAAAACCAAACAACCACCACCAAGACAACCTATCAAAAGAGACACTTAGATTTGAATGAGTGGATGGTTCTGAAGCTTCGGTTGTCAATACTGTGGAGAGATAATGCAGAAATTATGTGAACATGACAATCAAGTGAACAAATAATAACTCTACTATGAAACTTAATAGATTATCAAAAAAGAGATCATTAAAAATATAAGGAACAATGTACTGTATTTAAGGAATTCCAATGTTAAAATCTGCTATTGCAGTGGGGGCAAAAAGGCCCTTTATTTATAATAAAATAATACATATCTGAGAAACAACAATACTAACAATACGGATAATAATAGCTATAATATCCTTTCTGTCATTATTAACAGAATCACCTTTACTACCATTACTGTTGTTTTCATGAGTACTTGCAGTAATACCAGAAACAACAACAATATCAATACTGACAAAACTGGCAGAACTGTCAGTACCAAACTTATACAGAGAGATCCCAAAATTCCAGGCCAGAATGCATCAGAGTCTGGTCAAATGGACCAGTAATGGTTAATTTTGCTCAATATTATTAAAATTCTTACTAATGAAACTATAGTCATTCATTAAGTAAAAAATGCCTGCAGATAATTTTATTATAGCTCCTGCTAACCCTAACAATAACACTAACCTGACCTGACCCTAACTCTAATGCATTCCAGCTATTACAACCAGGAATTTTAGGGATCCTCTGCAAAAAATATCAATACTGTGATTACTAGGATGACACCCGAATAAATCAATAATTGACAACACCAAATTTACTGTGGCAATGATATAACTAATGGTCGATAAAATTTTATAAAGAATAAATTTCCTGGGTTACAGTTTTAACAAACAAATATGATTTTTAAGATTATGTTTTAAAACATTTGCCATCCCTAGTAACAGTAATCTTTGTTTAAAGTTATTTTTAATCCTATAAATAGCAGAATCAATATAAATAAAAATCATCGAATTTGTGTAGATAGTTGTTGAGCAATTAAAATTTAAAGTTTTGTGAAAAATTTAAGAAAAAGAATGTTGAAATAAAATTATTTATTTAAATTTAATCGACAGTTGCAGATGTTGAGAAATATCAGTTAAAAGTAAAAAAAAAATTTAACTGCAGCTTTTTTTTTTATGGATGTTTAAATTTTGAACGAAGATTACTTGGCGATTACCTGATCATATTCGATCAATTTTTTTATTTTAATTCTATGAAAATATAGAATTAAATAAAAACTTTTGCTCGAATTTGACTAGTTAAGTGCTAAGTTAACTTAATTAGATATTTATAAAAAAAATAAGCTGCGACCAAATTTTTTTTTAGTTTTAATCGATATTTCCCAACATCCATATATTTTTATTCAATTATTTTTTTATTTTTAATCTTACATAATTGCAGAATCAAAAAAAAAATATTGAATTTGGATATATAGGTGTTGAGAAATCATCATTTAAAATTTCTAAAAGAAAAAACTTTCTGATTTTGGATTTTTTTTTCTAATATTTCAAGTTTTTTCAAAACTTCTAGCAAAGGTTTCAGTTAATCTTTAGTATAACTGGGCAATATAGAATTTTTATAAGATTATAACATATAAAAATAACTTTAAACTAATTTAAGCAAATTTATAAATAGTTAAGGTGAGGGTTATAGTTTAAGTTAGAGTTAGCTTAGAGTTAGAGTTAGAGTTTTTTTATATTGTAATCTTATAATATTTCTATATTGTCCAACTATACTAAAGAAGATCCACTTGAAATCTTCTTGCACAATTGCAGCTATACCACAGGTTTTACTTGCACAAACCAACTGCTAATTGCATATATGTGCATATAAATTTTTTTTATATAATGTATTTATTACCTCCAAACAGAGTTTAAAATTTAAATTGAAACTTACATGCACAAATGCAGTTGTGTAATAGGTTTTAATTACACAAACCAACTACAGTTGCATACATATGCATATAAATTTTATTTATATATATATTTATTTATTATCTCTAAGTGATTCAATTATACCAGATATATCTTATACTCAACCTTGCTCATATTTTATGTTCATTTATTTTCCTTTCAGACCTTTTCAAAATATCTTTAGCTTATTGATATTTTATATTTAACTAAATTTTAGTACAATAAAATTTTATAATTTCTTTTGTATATTATTTTTTGTGCAAGCTTCTTATTTAAATTTAATTGCACACTTGTGTATATACATTTAGAATTTCTCTTGCACAAAAAAAATTTACTTGCATATGTGTATTTTGTGCAAGCCAATTTTAAACTCTGTATAAAATTTTAGGAATATCTAATATTAATAAAAAAAAAAAGTTCAAAATACTGTATGCCTACTTAGAAAGGATTTGATAAATCCTTATTTAATATTTGTTTTGGTACAAAGAAAAACTATAATGTTGAAAAGATTTATATAAAATTAAGAAAAGAATTGTAGAATTAATTAATACAATAAATAACAATAATAAATAATTAAGCGTATATGAAATAAATAAAGTTGATATTATAAGCTAAAAATTTGGATTTTCAAAAATTAATGCTACAGCTTTATTTTTGGTATTTATTTTTGAAAATAACTAAAAAAACTGGTTTATTACAATATAATTAGAATAAATTCATATTTCGTACCTGCGATATGCTTATATATTACAATTAAATATAATTGGCTAATTTTGCAGATTATTTTAAAAAATAAACAAATTTTTATTAATTTTTTAGATTAAAAATAACTTATAAAAAAAAATCAAGAAAAACATTCAAATTTTTTGCAATTATATACAAAATTTGATGTTAACCAGGTTTATTTAGAGACAAAAAAAAAAGTTGATATAATAAAACTTAAAGATATTTGCATATTTACATATTTTTTTACTTATATTTTATGTTTTTTTTTCAAATTTTATTATGCCAACTTCATTTTTGTCTCTAATTAAACTTGTTCAGCATCAAATTATATATATAATTACAAAAAAATTTAAATAGTTTTTTTAATTTTTTATAAGTTGGTTTTAAGCTAAAAAAATTAATAAAATTTTGTTTATTTTTTTAAAAATAATAATCTGCAAAATTAGCCAATTATATTAGTTCAATATATAACTATGTATAAAGTATATTAAACTTCTATAATTAAACTAAGCTGTTTATTTTTGTTATATTGGTTAGCTACAATATAGTTAAACTAAACTAGTTAAATTATAATATAGACAAACCAGATTAGTTTGGCTATATTTTAATTAAACTGCAAACCAGGTTCCCATTTCTATCAACAACTACCTAATAAAATTTGATTTTTTTTGGATATTCTATAGAATAGATAGGCCAACTCTGCAAACCTTGTAATTTCAATAAATATCTATTAATAATTATTAATTATTAGCAGAGTTTATTTTTTATATTGCCTATTTATTCTATAAACCATTTTTTATTTATATGTTAGTAGAATTAAATAAAAATATTTATTGAGATTAGTTGAATAGTTACTAAGACATATTCATTCAAAATTATAAAAACAAATTTAATAAATATTATTATGAATTTATGAAATTGATTATATAAATATATTATGTATCAGAATATTAGTCTAAGGTAGAATAGTATTAGTATAAGTATCTGAGAAGAATTTGGGTTTAATTTAGATCAATTAATGTTAATCAGTTAATGTAGGCCAAAAAAGTCAATATCTAATATAAGTATTAATCTAAGATATAATAAATACAACCTTTTTATAGTAAAAGTGACAAATCATTACATAGAAAAATAATCTAATTTAAAATCCGAGTTAGATTTATTAAAACAATAAAATGATATGATTATTTTTCTTATATTATACTATAAATTAATTTTAGAGAGAGTAATTGTCTTTTAGATTCACTTTGTTTTTTCAATACAATTTGTTTTTTTTTTTTGTATATTGTTTAAAAAAAATTTATTACAGATATCTTAGTTTTAATCAACTTTTTTATATTTGAAAAATAAATTAGTAAATTGTTATAAATAAAAACTTTCAATTTACTTCAAGTAATTTGAATATAAAGTATACACTTTTTTGAAAAACACAAAAAATTAGAATTATGCCAGAAATTACTTTCTATTAAATAAATAAATATATACCTATTGGTGAAATAATAATAGATAATAATTATATTTTAATCTAAAAAATATAAGCTTTTGCTATTATGATCCCTATTATATATCACAATAATTGTCATTAACAAGTATTTTGTATTTATCTAGTAATTTATATCTATATATACTAG